TTTTTAAATCACCAAAATAATCTGATTTATCACAGCAAAGCACTGCAAAAACAGAAAGAGTCATCAGAGTTTAGTCAAAGAAAATGAACCATAATCCAGACTAAATCTTGATATTTCAATCATTTATTCTTCATGGTTAAAAATCCGCCAAAAACAGACCGTTTGGAGGAGCCACATTCTGCCAAAAACAAAAAATTCTGCACTCCTTACTGCAACTGTGAAGCCATTAGTGACTCAGCTGTGATCAGCAGTCACGTGACTAAAATTCAGGGACTTTTCAACTGAACAGGCAGCGTTTACAGAGTACAGAGAGGAGACAAAGGATAGAAACAAATGTAAAATGTAAGTAGTTTAATATCCAGAGTAAGTTGTTTTTTTTCTGTATTTTAATAGCTTTAGGGCACTTGGAAAAACGTTAAACAAGCAGAGTCCAGGATTTTTTGTTTTTTGTAAAATAAATAATTAAAGAAATTGAAGTTTTGTTTTTCCCTTTTTGTTTGTTTCCCTCATTATAACTGCACAAAGCACATTTCTGGGTTCTCCCTCCCTCTAATCCTGGTTGTTCTGTTTCCATAGACTTTACATTACAATGAAAACTGAGCCCACAGTGAGAGGAGTAAAAAAAAAAAAAAAAACACCCACAAACTGCTTGGAGTTCAGAGGGTTAATCAGTAAAAGTCTGGCATTTAGAGTTTGTTGCTTTATTAGTTGAACTCAGCGGGCCTCAAATTGATGGTCAATAACAGGTGAAGAGTTACGAGACAAGAGAAATCCTCTCGACCCTCAAGAGTTCAAGAAACATTCGTCTTTCCCTGTAGGCTCTGCATGCGCATTCAGTCACCACAATGCCCGTCTTGTTCTAGATGCTCGGACCGACCTGCGGACAGACGGAGACCCGTCCGGTTTCCACAGAACCAGGAGAGACCAGCAGATCCCACAAGAACACAGAGAAGCTCGCGACACACAGGCCGAAGGAGGAGGAGGAGGAGGAGGAGGAGTCGACATCAGCACCCTGCCGGACAACATGACTCGTATCGTGGTGAGACGCTTGAAACTTCACCTGCTAACCTGCTTCGTATCATTTCCTCTATCTATTGTGTGTAATGTGTGTGAGCTACTGGATGCCTTAAATTAGAAATATATCAACCATGAAGGCAGAAGATGAGGTACACAAAGTTACAAAAACATCTCTGAAGGTTAGGGATTAAAAATGTGGAACAATTACATCAACCCATGTGCTGACGTAGCTGCTTTAAATGCTTTATCAGACGATATGGGCTGTTCTAATAACGTAGACGATCAGACTCCGGACCACAGGAACACTAGCATAGCACGCTTTAGCTCATCTACTAAAGAAGAGGTGCGCATTAAGCGTCACAGGAGACTTTGTCATGGTGGCCCTTTACTAGCTAAACTCCCATAATGCCCTTTGCTTGCCAAATGCTCGTAATCCAAGTGACCACCACCTTGGTTGCGACAGTACTAAAGAGTAAAAACGCCCTCTGGGTGGCGTAACCAGCTACTACTACACATCTTCCGCCTTACTGGTCATTTTAATTGGTTAAATTATGAAGAGAAATAAATCTAATAACCAATAATCACTAGCATCCCGAGTAGATTAGCTGTAGTACCTGGTTGTACCACCAGGTGGAGCCTTTTGTGGCGTAATGAGATGGAGTTACAGGTGTGTTTGCAACCACCCCACCCATGAGGGTCAATAAAACAGTAACTCCCTCCCTGCTGTCTAACTGCTGTCATGTTGATGAATTCTGCAGCCGTCTGGTTCAGCTAGCTCCCCGAGGCTCATGCTAACGCTAAGCTAGGGTTGTCAAACGTCAACACAACCAGCAGCTGAGCGTCTGTCAGCGGAGAACATTCAGGAGCAGCAGGACTCTGATTACAAGCTTCAAACAACACTCAAGCGATGAAGTGTGGCGGCGACGCGCTGCTCCGAGTATAAATCCATTTTAAGGGCTGACAGATTTCCTGGACTGACGAAGCTGCTGCGACAGTATTTGCAGACATCTGTTCGAGTTGAGCAGCTGTTTCCAGCAGCTGGATTAACTACAATCAGTCCATCATGCAGATCAGGTACAACCATGACAATGGTGGTGAAGACTCCCATGATCTCACACCACATCTTCTGTTACTGTTTTGATTGAGAGGCGCCTCGCAGACCAGATTACATGCTGAAAAATGTAATTCGGTCTCTGTGAAAACACTGAATGCTGCTAACTGAAGATGACATAACGGGGGCTTCCCTCTCGTCTGGTTATTTTGGGAAAAACAAAACATTACAACCGACCAGAAATCAGCAAAAGCTCACCAAACAAAGCGACGCCAGAAGGTATTTATAAGGTGGATGAGACTGAACCTGAGTCTGCATGTGTTGGGATGCTGTGAGGTAGGAGGTTGCTGATTTGATTCCCACATGTCCACGGGCCAAAAAAACAAACCTGAAGGTCAGGCTAGTACCTTGAACAGTGGCTTGCTGCCGTCTGTGTGTAACTGAGTGTATGAATGGGTGTAAACTGTTAAAAAAGCAACACGAATGCAGACACTTGTTGTAATAACAGAAAGCAGAAAGGTCAAACTCTGCTCTGCCAAGCTGCACAAAGTAAAGGTCGAGTCGAAGGTGGAGCTGGAAGCACAAAGCCGTCGCCCTGTGCCATTTTCCATTCACTACCGCTGAGCAGTGTGTGTCTGAGTGCGTACGCTGAGGCTTCGTCCTGTCTTGTGTCCTGACTCGTCTACAGTAAAATTCAACCCAAATAAATTGTGTTGTAGGTTTTTTTGTTTTTTTTCTCCCCTCTCTACGACTCAAATTGAAAACAGACGACGTCCTCGTCCTGCCAACTTACAGTGTTTGTTTGAGCGCGAGTGCGTGCGTGTGCATGTGCGCGTGCACTCGCGAATGACTCACTTGGACAAGATCACAAGTAGCCCTGTTGTACTGCTGCTGTGGCTCTTTTTAAAGGGGAGGTCTGATCCCAATTTCCAGCAACCTCCACCTCTTGTCCAACCGGAATCTCTTCAATAAATCAGTCAGCTGTGAGGGGAAACTGAGCGACTATTCTGCTCACCTAGAAATCCCTCCACACCCACCCACCCACCCACCTCCAGAAAATACAGGCTGGTGTCAGGCAGTGAAGATGGAGGAAAAAAGTGGGTCACTTGCTGTATATGGAGCAGCCGGAGAGGTTGTGAGAGCGCTGCATTTAACTGCTCCACTTTCTGAGCCCACACTAAACCCCAGAACCATTGCTCTCTGTCACCTTCAACTGTGGCATACATTAATAACGCCATCAAGACTGGAGATGTGAGCGGAGACGCCAGCGCTTGTTGTCAACGCCGTAGCGTGTAAACAGCTCCCCCCAGTGGAGCTCAGTGCGCAGAACTGGGAATAACCAATCAACCAATCCCCCGATGTCCTCAGGAGGTTTTTCCCAACAAGCTCATGTGTCCTTTAGACCTCTTTTTGCAGGTTTTGCGACATGTGAGCGTTGCCCTCCGAAGGTAAACTGATTTAAACCTTTTGCACACAAAAAGTCCATGTAGGATGATGTTTTTTTTTTACCTTATGACTCTTTGAGGCGTGTCAACGTCGAGTGATGAGACCCAGCAGTCCATCGATCGACCCTGATACTCTGGTTCATGCTTCACACGCGTCGTGACAAACTGTCTGGAAAAAATAAATCAAATGTTCTACTCAATGTATTATTAATACCATGCAATGATTTCACGATGACATTGATGAAATGAATCTGCATCTGAACGAGACTCATCTGTCGTTAATCTATTAGAAACAAGTGAAATCTCCTCAAAGACAATAATACCTGTGTTCATCAAGCACCTTCTAAAAACAGAGTTTATGATGTGCTTTGACAGATGAACCTAAACAAGGAGCCGCTCAGTAAGACAACATTAAAACAGAAAGCTAACCTGATCTCCTCGTGGTCCAGACTGCACACACCTTTAGTTTTCAGCCGACTCCTGGAACAGACAAGAGGTCTTTGAAAAAGGATGTCAAAGTGTTCACGGGTGTGTATAAGACTAACAAGTCAGAACCAGAACTTGGACCTTAAAGGTAATCTGTAGAATCTTAAAACCCATCCTAAAACATACTTAAACATGTCAAGTTTATACATTTCAAGCTTTTCATTTTAAGTTGTTAAAATAAGAGTTCATAGGAGGTGTTCTGATAATAACATGTCTGCTAGTTACGTTGCAGTATTGGTTGGTTTCCTCGAAGCATTCAGCCATGAGGCCTTGTGTCCATGTTGCGTGTTTCTCCTGCAGTTTTAATTCTACGACAACATCTTGACAACATAGCGCCGTAGGACAACACACAAGACCGATAACTTCTGTCTGATGTATAGTACGAATGGAACAAGCTTCTTCTTGGTTTGCTTGGTTTCTGGGGCACCAGTCGTAAGAGGCGACATAAACTTTGTGCTCGCTAGAAACTACAAAAGAAAAAAAAAAAAGGCACAATGGACACTCGTAAATATTTGGGTCTAAATGACCGCCTCTTTCTCCCAGGAGGACTCCCAGAGGTACTACAGATGGCAGAGCTTTGGTCCAACAGACAGACGGACTGAAGACTTGTGGGTGGATCTGAACAACCTGCACAAGAGCCAAGTCCGAATCCACGGCATCCTGTCCAACACGCACCGACAGGCAGCGGTAAAGCCACCGTTCACACGTATACGAGCAAAAATAGCTGACTTACACACAACTATGTGGAATATTTCTTCTGTTTTTCAGAGGGTGGCGCTGTCCTTTGACTTCCCATTCTACGGACACTACCTGAGACAAATTATTGTGGCAACTGGAGGTGAGTTTCCCTCTACATCATCTGATTTCGATCTACTTTAATCTCCAATTGAAAGCCTAAATGTCTACAAGTGTGTTGAAGGAGACTTTGTCCTTCCCCCGGGGGAATACTCAGGCTTACCAGGCTATAAGAAACCTAATTAATTGTAAACGCTTTCATTTTTAATCTGTTTTAATTGCTTACAGCCTTACTGTAAATGTCCTAAATCCCAATTTCTTTATCTAAAGGAAATGTGCTTTAATTCTCTAAAGCCCCCAAAACTGGTTGTCAGGGTTAAAAAGGCAGTTTTTCTGTTTTAAAAAAAAAAGCATAAAAATCACCCAAATTAGTGCAAAAACAAGAAAAAACCATCAGATTTTCAGCTTTGCTTGAACAAATCGTGTGTGACGTCGAGCTCTATCAGGAAAAATAACCAACTTTAAAACATGAAATTGTGATATTTCATTTTTTTTTTAAAAAAAGACAGTTTGCACCAGATTCCAGCACAAAAATTATGTTCTCCTCTTTGAAAATGCTTTAGATGGAAACAACAATCACATTAAATAAGAACTGAAAGAGCATTTGGGTGAACCACAGGCTGAGAGGACGAGAGATTAAAAGGAAACTTACTGGTAAACGCAGCACGCCTCAAAAACAGTGACCAGAGGAGCAGGATGTTGGACGATACAGTCGTCATGGTGAAACATCTAGAGTAGAGAGAAAAACACTGAGTTAGCAGAGGTAGCAAAAATGTCAATTGTAAAATATCTATGATATGTAAAAGCCACTAATTTTCTTCCCAATATTGCTCACAAATACAGAATTTCTACTTTTATCTTGGTCATTTTCAGAACTTCTGGCATGATCATTTGGTTTATATCACCCAATACACACCACAAAAGAGACTGAAAGGAAAATAAAACCGAGTTGATCAATGAAATAAATGCAACAAGGCTCATAAACAGTAAACAGAGGAGCAAATCGTTGGACTCAGCATGGTGGAATATCTCTGACTTTCTAGAGTGGATGTGCAGAGGAGAGTGAAAAACACCTGGTCTGTTGTCACATGTTCTGTTCAGGCTTTACTGTAACTTCATTATCGTGCACAGAAGACACTCCCTTCTCGTCGGGGTTGTGCTGTTTCCATATTGCAGAGAGCTTAAAGAGGTTCGAGGGGTTAAAAAGAGTTGTTTGTTCACAACTGTTGCATGAAAAAACTGTGCAGCTGTTCACGGAAGACGGCGGTTGTTCGTCATGTGTTGCCGTCTCTCTGTTCTCACGCAAAGCAAAATTAAACACCCGGACGACGTGTAAACGAAGGTTAAAACCAGATGAGCTCATCAGTGGCAACGCTCCGCTGTTGGTGCGCAGAGGAACAAATGAGCGAAAAACCAAAGCTCTTGTGTTTCTGGTCCTCAGGATTCATCTTCATGGGTGAAATCACTCATCGAATGCTGACCGCCACCCAGTACATCGCTCCCCTCATGGCCAACTTTGACCCCAGCTTCTCCAAAAACTCCACAGTGAGGTACTCCGACAACGGTACGTACCAGTTCTCTGTGGAACCGGCAAAGCTTTGGAGCTCCTGGTTATCTCTGACTGGCAATGTGTTCATCTGTTATCAGGTAATCTGTTTGTGGTTCAGTGGGACAAAGTGAGGCTAAAAGACCGAGAGGACGAAGGACCTTTTACTTTCCAGGCAGCTCTGCACAAAAACGGAACCATTGTTTTCAACTACAGAGAGGTGCGTTGCTCGTTTCTGTTGTGAAGGAAACCAGTTCTGAGTTTGTATGTCAGACTCAACCGACTCTGCTGTTCTCTTTTAGATCCCTGTACCAGTGGCTAAAATTAACTCCACCGAGCATCCGGTGAAAGTGGGGCTGTCTGACGCTTTCATGGCTTTCCTCTCCGCCTCCCAGCTCACAGGTCAGTTCCAGATAAATAAATTAAGTAAAGTCTAAACCAAGCGGTTCACAAAAACAAAAAACAACTTTAAAACAAAGCTTCTTAAGTGTATTCTTCGTCTGTATTCTGAAAGCAGTTTTCGGTCCAGAAGTGCAGCAGGTAGTTCTGCAGCTCTGTACGAACTGTTACAGAACAACCTGCACCTGTTTCGTGCCACAACATTAAGACCACCCACAGGTGACGTGAACAACACCGATCATCTCCTTACATTAGATCCCGTCGGCAGTTTGAACTCATTAAGTAGCAAGTAAACAGTCAGCTCTTGAAGTTGGAAGCAGAAAACGACGAGCAGTGAGAAGATCTGGTGTTGTGGGATGTTCTCGTCGACCAAATGTGGTCCAACAAAGACCAGCTGGTTCGGTAGTGAAGGCTGGCTTGCATGGTCTGATCCCATTGAAAACCTGAAGCTGCTCTGATAAAAAGGTGTCAGAACCAGAACATACCACACAGAGTTGTGTACATTTCTGGCACCTGATCACCACTGAAAGCTCCTACAGTGGACATGTAGGGCAGTTTTTAGCGAGCCGGCAGAAGCAGTGTGATGCTTTGACAAAGTTCTACGGGGAAACTTTGGGTCCTGCATTCACAAGGACGTTACTTTGGCACCTTCCTGAACATTAATGGAGACTATATACACCACCTACAGGCAGCAGAATCCCCTGATGGCCTCTTTCAAACATTCGAATATTGCTCAGGAATGGTTTGAGGAACCTGACAAAGAGTTAAAGATGGTGGCTCTGCCTCCAAGTTCTCCAGAGCTCAGTCGGTGCTGGAAAAAGTAGTTCTTAAAGCAAGATGGTTCATTTCACCGTGACTGTATCACCCTGGGGGGAACCGGAATCTTTCTGCGTGGAGTCTCCATGTTCTCCCCGTGCAGCGTGGGTTCTCTCTGGGTTCTCCGGCTTCCTCCCACAAGGTTCAAAAACATGTTGAGGTTAATTGGTGATTCTAAATTGTCCGTAGGTGTGAATGTGAGTGTGCTTGGTTGTCTGTCTCTAAGTGTAGCCCTGTGATAGACTGGTTACCTGTCCAGGTGAACCTGCCTTCACCCTGAGTCAGCTGGGATAGACTCCAGTCCCCCATGACCCTAGTGAGGATTAAGCGATGTTCAGATAATGGATGTATCACCTCGGGTTTTAGGGCTGTTTCTAAATGATCTGTTTGGTCTGAACACCAATGAGCTGCTGTTGTTCAGAAGGAAACTGCTCTCTTCACCAGTTTGAGCTAGAAGACTGTTGGTTTGTTCGGTGTTACGTAGCACCTCGGTTCAATTCTTATTCACTTGTAAAGCTGGGAAGGAACGAGCTGTGGGGAGTCTCCACAAACGGCAGAAGTCAACATCTTCATATCTGTCATTTTAAAACAAAACACAATAAGAATGGATTTTCACCAGAGGGGATCTTTAAAGGATCTGCTGCTAACGTCTGATACCACAGGACACCTTCAGAGGTCTGTGGAGTCCAGAAAAACACAATATGACACATGTGGTTTTAATGTTGTGGCCTACGGTGTACATTTCAGTCAAACCTCTGTACGAGTAACTAAACACTAAATCTACTTTTCTGAGTTAGCAAAGTTTCTCTCTTGTTCTCTAATAATTGATCCTGGATGTGATCTATGGGGAGTTTTGCATCAAAAGTTGGAGAAAATGCAGCAGAACTGTCCAGTAAACAGAAACCAATGACATTCATTTATGCACCAAACTGCAGGTCAACAGCGACTTGTGTCACTTGTGTAGTCGGGCCAGTATTCAGATACTTGACCAAAGCAAAAGTATTATTAAGTAGAAGCACGTAGCAGCAAAATATAAAGTATTGCAGCAAAAGTCCTGGTTTGGTCCCTGTGAGTGTTATTTATTCTATATGACAGTGTTATATTATAAATAGTGAAGCATCAGCATGTTCCCGCTACTTCATGTCCAGTTTTATACACACATAAATCTGCAGGGCCGCAAATGTGATTAACGGGAGGAAAAAAAAAAACAAAGTTCCGATACACAAATCTGTTTTCAGTTTTCCTCTGATTTCTGCTGCGATATTGGATTTAAACGAAACCATGTGAGGAGTTTAGAGGGTAGAATCACTGTTTGGTGGAGCTGTTAACACGCTGGACGACACGTTCAGAAGAAGCCAAGCAGGTTGGAAACGTCAGATTCTAAAAGCTTGTGCTGAAATCTGTAAAAAGCTGTCGGATAGCGTTCAATATTTTCAGTGCTTTTATAGCAAAGTACCTCAGAGTCCGCCTAAATGCAGCACTTGAGTAAATGTGCTTCAATAAATTCCACGACTGACTCCTCCGTGTTTAACTGAACCTCGTAAATCCACACTTCACATCCCACGTTTGTCGATCTGAGCAGGAATCTGTCACCTCTCAGACATAAAACACAAAGATTTCTTCACTTATGCTGGATTTTTCTATAATTTGGGAGTTTTTAAACTGTCAGATTTACTATTTAATGACTATGTTTGTGTTGAAGATGCAAAGAGGCGCACCATCTACGAATACCACCGCGTTGAGATCGACACCACAAAGATCGGCAGCAGATCTGCCTTCGAGTTCATCCCTCTGCCCAGTAAGCAGCATCGACTTTACATAAGCGTCCTTGTTCTGTTCTTGGCTCCTCTAACTGCTCTGTTCGTCTGATTCCTGCAGCGTGTCTTCAGCACACGTCCTGCGATCTCTGCCTGACGTCCAACCTGACGAGCGGCTGCGGCTGGTGCAACACTCTGCAGCGGTAAACATTTCGGTTTATCGTCGTTGTAACGAAGCCACGTGGGGGGAATCCGGCTCATTTAGTTCTCTCTGAGTTTCAGATGTTCCGACGGCATCGACCGGCACAGACAAGAGTGGCTGGATTACAACTGCCCCGAAGAGGTGAGGTTCACGAGCAGCTTACACAGCAGAGACGTGAGCAGCTGTTTCATTTAGCCCCGTCATGTTTCACTCAGGCTAAAGGCACATGTGAGGACTACAACCCGGTTCTACCTGACGGCTCCGCGAGCTCCTTCAACCAGTCGTCTCCGGGTCCGACGCCTTCTTCATCCGTGCTCGAAGACCAGCCGGTCACTCGGGGTGAGTTTCTGTGGGAGGAAACAAACATTTAACTCGGTCGAATCACCGAGTCGGAGGTTTGATTGATAAAAAATGTGATTTTTGTTGATGCAAATCTCCAGTTCAGTGATGGGAACTGAAAGGAGATGTGGGTAATTGACTGCAGCTGTGTGGATTTACAGTAAAAGATAATTCTGGGTTCCTAGAACTAGAGGCATATTTCGTTCATTTATTGTTCCTGTCAGAAATCATAACACTGTACTCGTCAAGCTAATTGGGGGGATCTGGGAATGGGGCAACGCTGCTAAAAAAAAAAACGGTTTAAACGAACTTCCAGCCTCCAGCCTGGCAAAACTTTAGAAAAGAGAACAAAAGCAGACAGCTCATTTATTGGCCCGACTGTAAACATCACGGCTGAACGATATTAAAAAAATAAAAAGTA